ATCCAAAAACGTTTACCTTATCTTAAATCGAGCTAACTCTGTTATGTTTATATGAAGAGCAGCTCGGGGGAGTTCTGATCAGAGCCGTTTCGCACACTGTGAGTGCAGATGTACTCGCTGACTGCAGTAATTGATTCCTGATGCATATAGTATGTGGATGGATATAGGCGTGGGAACTCTGTGAGCAGTGACCTCAGGGGAAGCCAGATGTTAGCATGGAGGCTCACAGCTGCTCCGAGCAGCGATGAGAAACACATCCTCCTCCACCTGCTGCAGCGCTGACGGGGTTTAACTGTCCCTCCACTTCCTAAAGCCTCGCTAAACATTTCTGTTTAACTTGGCAGCATGTTCTCGGATCACTTTCTTTCTGTTGTGTTTTTATAGACTCCATCACAACCGGCCTTTTCTGTTAAAGGGGCCCTATTTTGCTTTTAGGGGGTTTAACTTTCCTGTAGTGTGTTATATAGGTTTTTAGTGCATGCAAATTACATTACATTTAGCTGACGCTTTTACCCAAAGCGACTTACAGTAAGTGCATTCAACCAAGAAGATACAAACTTGAAGAAAACAGAATCCTATAAGTACATCAGGTTTCATAGAGCCAAAACATTTCAAGTGCTACTCAACTGGCTTTAGATAAGCCAGCCCTTTATTAGTTTATAAGTGCTTTGATAGTAATTTTATTGCTCGAAGTGGAGTCGAAAGAGATGGGTTTTCAGTCTGCGCCGGAAGACGCAGATGGTCTGGAAAGGCTAAAAGGGAGTTTACCCCTGCCTGAAACGCCTCCATTGGACTCCTTTGTTTACTTTTGTAGCATAATGACATCACGAAACACTTGTGCTTCTATTGGCTAGCGCTCCAACACATTGTACTTGATAGGCTAAGGGGCGGGACATCTCTAAGCGGGTTGACCAATCACAACAGAGCCGGCCAGCTAACCAATCAGAGCACACTGAGCTCTGGTTTCAGAGAGAGGGTGAAAAGAGGTGCTGCAGCACAGACAGACAGTATGAGAACAATAAAGAGCTTTTTGAACATTAAAGCATGGAGACATGTGACAGTAGAGGAACAAAATACTATTATGAACCTGAAAATGAGCGTTATAGGGCCCCTTTAATAAAGACGTTAAATGTAGACCGCAGTGCTGAAGGGCGTTAATTCTTTGGCTCTTTGAGGAAAGGGAGGCATTATTATTTCCTTTGGGATGTTTGGTGATGTTTAGACGCAGCTGTTTAACTTACAGCACAGAACATGGATTTAAACCTCAAAACTGTGGTGTGAGTTTTACCTCCAGCTCATGAGTTTCCCTGGATTCACACCAGATGTAAAAGGCAAGCTGTCAACAGCTGGAGCTAAATAATAATACGTTGGTTCGACAATTACATCTTTCATTGTGCGCATTTTGGAAACATTGGAGCAATCTGACACTCTACTGTAAATCATAAGCTATGCCAGAAGTATCTATAATGGAGTCGTGCTTTCCCTAAGAATCTGAACACGCAGTTAGCACTAGTTACACATTCAAAATACATTTAAACATTGGCATGTTGTTTTCAATATGCCAATGTTTGCATTTTCAGTTCAGGTACTTTCAAAAATCTGCAATTTGTTTTGATGAATGAGTCAAAGTAATGTTTCCAGGAGAAATCCCAAGCATTTGATGGTTCCTAGTTCGCTGTAAATTCACTTAGTTTAAGGATGTTGGTCAAACAAAACAAGGCATTGATGATTTTATATATTAAAGAGACATAATGGACTGTTCTAATTTTCAGGTGTATATCAGTATGTAGTGTCTCTACTGGGACATGTCTCCATGCTTTAATGTTCAAAAAGCTCTTTATTTTTCTCATACTGCCTGTGCTGCAGCACCTCTTTTCACCCTCTGTCTGAAACCAGAGCCCAGTCTGCTCTGATTGGTTAGCTGGCCGCAGGGTTCGAGTTATAATCTGAGCTTTATGGGGGTCTAATAATTATTATTTATTGCGCACCTTGGAGGTGAAGTGCAGGCTGATGTCATTCATGAGAGAATACGATGCGTAGTTTCTTTTTATTTTAGCCCATTTACCTCGTTAACGTAAATAATACTCGTTACATTGACACATGCATTATTTGTGATTAAAATAATGGTTGTTGGTAATGTATTAGCGACCCCCACAGATGTATGATTTCACCGCTTTCATAGGAGCTCAGAACCCTCCTTATGGGAGTTCAGCTCCCATTGGCTCCCACATAACTCGAACCCTGGCTGGCCGGCTGTGTTGTGATTGGTCGACCGCTTAGAGATGTCCCGCCTCTTAGCATATCACGTACAATGTGTTGGAGCGCTAGCCAATACAAGTGCGAGTGTCAAATAGCGATGTCATTATGTTCCTGAAGTAAACAAAGTCTAATGGAGGTGAACACAGGGATTTGAGCCTTTTCAGAACATTTACATTCACCTATATAACACACTACAGGAAAGGGAGAACCCCTAAAAACGTATGTATTACTTTTACATGTAATGTGACACCCTGTACCTTGTGCAGCTTTCTGACGGATGTTTTAACCAGATTTGAAGCTTCATCTCTGTATTAATGCCTCCTCTTCCTCTCCTCTCTCAGCCTATAACTACTGCTCCAACAATGGCGGCTGCTCTCACCTGTGCCTCCCGCGGCTCGGCGGCTTCACCTGTCGCTGCCCGGACGCCTCCGAGGGTCAGTGTGAGGAGAGGAACCTGTGAGCTGCTGCTGGGACACACAAAACACTCTTAACTCGACGTTGGTGTTTCCTACATTTCTTACTTGAATTGAACATTTTCCACAATCTTTTGTGTTTCTGTCCGTCGGAAGCTGTTCAGACTCTACTGTATTTATGATGTCACACTTCAGGTGAGATAATTCACTTTTGAATTCAGATGTGTTTGTATTTAGACTCCTGGGTGAAGAGTTTCTCCTCGAAATGAGACCAAAGTGACACAAAATCTTAAACAGGGATTTTTTTTAAAGACCGTAGGTAAACCAAAAACCCTTGTGATGATAATTATTTGAAAAGGTACTGAACGATAAACTCTACGTTGTTTTTTATTATATTTTAAAGGTGAAACTCCTTCGTTTTTCCTTATAACTGCGTAAACAATCAGATATAATTCAATCAATCTTCTGTAATGATTAAATAATTGAGAAAAAATGTTCGTAAGGGCCTTTTCGAAATGTTAGACGTTTCAAAAAATGCCTTTGAAAAGGAAAAACCTTTCCCTGAAGTTACTTTAGGACAGCCGTGTGTTATCTGTCTTTATCTAATCTGAATACAGGCAATCTTTTGGCTGCAGCGCCCCCTAGAGGTGAAAGGCAGTCATATCAACTCAAAGGCCTTCTTGGAGTTGTCACACATTTTTCTAAAACTATTCAAGAGTTACAGAAATATCACAAAACCGATGCATCATATTTAGTTTAATCCAAACAAATATATATATAGTGTATATATATTGTAGCACATTAAGTGAAGACTTGATGAAATATGTACGAAGAAACGACCAAAAAGGCCTAAAATATGTTGCAAAATAGTCAAATATTTTGCATAATTTCAAGTTTTTATTATACAAAAGGTAAAGTGTTTATATCCAAAAAAGTCTCCATAAAAGCTCTATTAGTTTCCTAATGATAATAAACAGCTTTCTCTAAATATGCTTTCTCTAAAATGATACAGAACGTTTTGTTTTTTAAAGGATTGCAAAAGTAGTTTTCTTTGACAGAGATGTTTTAACTCATTTGTAAAATAAACCAAACGAAGCCAATATGGGATTATTCTATATTTTAGTAATCTTATATGATACATTAGATTTGTTCCCCCTACAGAGCTGACTTGTATGTTATTATTATTTTGGAAGTGGACCACTATAATCACCACTGTGACCCTGAGGTGGTGTAAGAGTTGAGTAAAGGGCTGAAAACCTTTTTATGACTTACAAGATGTATCGTGTTGTTTGTACTACGACTCAGTGTATTTTTGATATGAACTTGTAAATAATGACCTGATATGCAGATGATATTCTCTGATGTTTTAATGTTGCCTGAGATCTACCTGAAGACGATTACTGTGAAGGTGTGAGGGAAGTATCCAGAGAACAAGCGGTACGTTTCTGTCATGTGAACATCTTTTTATTCAGTGCTGAATTAGGAGCTAGTCACTGTGTTTTCATCTAAAATAAAAGTAGACGAAACTACAAAAAATACATGTTTTGAAAGACTCCTCAAATATACCTGCAAATATTGAAATTAGGGAATGTTAAGCAACATAATCAAACTGCTTCTTATGTCAACAATTATTTAAAATGATCCTAAAACCAGGACAAATACAATTGTCCAATTTTGAGAAGCTTATTGTAGCAGTGATATTTTTCAAATATTCATTTTGGCAGCAATCTTACTTTTTCAAACATGAAAATACACTTTAATTTGGATTCAAACCTGTCAAAGACTGTCAAAATCTTAATTTGATTATATTATTTAATTGTAATATTGCCCGACATAGACTTGTATACACTAAGACTATTCTAACCTGCTGCTAAAAAATTATAAAAAGTCCCTCATTTGTAAAGTGAAGTTTCTAGTTTTGTTTGATATAAACACAAATTGTTAAAAGAAATAATGAAATGTGGTCGTTAGAGAATAATGAGACGAGATTGTGAAACGGGTAAAAAGGTGACTCAATATTTTTACAGCAGCAGGAGAAACGTCTGAACTGGTGCTAATGTTTAAAAACAGTCAGTGTTTGCATGACAGGAACATCATTGTGTTGAAGGTGAAGTGAAGAGCAGGTCGGTGCAACGTTTCTAAACTCAGCTCAGGTTTTTTTTTTTGTGGTAACTGATCCCCCATCAGGGAGGAAACGGTCTGTTCTGACTATCAGCCAATGGGAACATTAACAACCTGTACAGCCTCAATAAAACATGTTTAAAACACAACGTCAGTGTGGAGAGTTCTGTTTCATATAACCTGTCTTTATTAAACCCATAGCTGATGAGAGGATGTGTCATTCAGATGCAATTCAAAGAAATACTCCACTTAAAATGTGTCTTCAATTACAGTTAATATAACGGCTCAATTGAATACTCTATTCTGATTGGTCAATGAGGTTGCTAAGGAAGATCAAGGTATTATGTGCAGTCATATTAGTCTGAGAGGAAATACGGTTGATTGTTGATAACCATAACTTTATTTTTCATGGATCAGAAAACACATTAGAATACTTTTCTAACATTTATTTGAAAATGTAGCGTAACAGCTCAACTGTCCCCAGAAGAGAAAACAAAAACAGTGCAAGAGGAAAAGGAAACAGGTTAATTTTGTTAGTGCGTCTGATTTCACTGACTATTTGGTGATTCTGAAATTCTGAATGAAGTCAAAGCTGATTCATTGCCATGCATTTTTCAGAGCAGTGCTTTGACTCAGCGTGCGGTTCAATGCTCTGAACCAACAGATCCAGTTGGGGAGTCGTTTTGGAGTGAATCCAGCTCTCAGTGAAAGTCTGTGAGTTTCTCCAAGGAGGGAACGGTCTGCTGCTGCTGCTGGACGTCAGAAGCAGCTGAAGTTCAGTTTCAGTCCGGCTGGTTCTTCAGGGTCAGGACCAGCGGACCTGCACCTGGTCTCCGTCCTCTATCGCGTAATAATGCAGGGTTTTCAAGTCGCCGTCGATCTCATACTCAATCCCCATTTTCTACAAAGAAAGGAAGTTAAAGGTCACCTCTTGTGCAAAATCCACTTGTTCAAGTCTCTTCTACATCAACATGTGTCCCCTCTTCTTCATGTCTCTCCCCTCTGTGTAACGAGATTCTGAAAGTTTCAGGAAGAAATATTCTCTCTCTTTTTGTCCTGATCCATTTCTATAAAAACCTGTCTGAAAATGAGCTGATCAGATTTTGGCCACTTTATGATGTCATAACGATTTTTTGGCTTGTGTGACCATTAGCCAATCAGCAACCAAGGTTAACCCCCCCGCACCTTATCACCTGAATCTCCTCCTAGAGCACCATTGAGTTCTTTTTAACCAAATATCTCTCAGAGGGGCGTGGGGAGGGGCTCCTTATTTTCATCTAAAGTAACAGACAGAGAATCAGCACTTTTGAAACAGGGCTGAAACAGAGGGGATTATGGGTAATGCTGCAATGATCTGTTTGGACATGTTTGTATATATCTG